GTAAATAATTTTAAACTCTTATATTTGTTATTTGACTTGATATTTATGGATATATTATTTTTGGACCATGATTGGTGTACACTCGGATCCACATAAAAAAAAAATGAGAACACCCAGTCCATTTCTTTTTTTTTTTATATGGAGGGGTGCACACCTGGATGTTGAATCCGGGTGTGCATACATCATTTTTCATTATTTTTATACCTATTACTTATTTAATTTTTTTACAATTTAAATAAAATATTTATCCAAACAAGTAAAGTACTTATAAGTAACGGATATACCCATACCAAATGCTCACCCCTATATTACACCCCCTCAAACTATAAAAGTTGTGTTTTATTATTATTATTATTATTTTTTTTTTTTTGAGAAATAAGTGGTGTTTTACTTCCATACAGCTTCCACTCGAAGAAACAAAATTTCTTCTAGACATCGAGTGGAAACTGTGTACCAAGGCATCCCGTTTCACCCACCTGTAGAAACAAAATTTAAGATTAAGGGGTTTAGATAGACTAAGTTCTTCTAGACATTCAATTAAGACACTTAACTTCGCGTGGAAACTGTGTACCAAGGCATCCCGTTTCACTTACCTGTGGAAACTTAATTAAAGATTAAGGGGTTTAGATAGACTAAGTTATCTCTTTTATTGTATTAAATATAAGAATTTTATATAATTATAATATTATATAATGACCCTTTTTTTGTTAATTTTGAGTTGTTTAATAAAAAGTAATTTTTTTTATCATTTTTGAATTTATTCACTCACATGTCTTATAATTCGAATTTAAAATTTTTTATATTTACAAAAAAAAATTATTACTAAGTAAATACATAAATATATACATATAAATTACCCTATACTTATTAACTTAAGTGTCAAATATAAACTTTCAAATATTTTTTTTGAATATATTATAATTATTTACAAATTAATTAGAAGATGAGAAAAAAAATTTCTGTGGAGTTCGAACGTGTAATCTACAAGAAGTGAACAATTTTAACTTACGGTCTAATGTGACTGAGTCAGAGCGAATCATTCATAAACTTTCAAATATATAAATAAATACAATATTTTAAAAATTATACCTAAAAATTTTTAAATCAAATATAAATATAACTCATATCTACCTATATTTGAAAATGCACATCTCTACGCACAAAAACGCCTTTGCTTTGGGAGAAAGGGTCATTGTCGAAGCTAAAAACGGACCTATTGGGCCAAGTTAG